TTGCTTTGTTTGTTCTATTTCCTTTTGATTTAATTCAGGCTGGTAACAGAGATTTAGCCTGGAGAAAATGAGTGTGATGGGTGGAAGAGGCAGTAGGCTGCAAGTGATTTTTTAACCTACTCATTGGCTCAGGCATATGCAGCATCAATTGTCCTGTTTCCTACTTTGTGTCTATTCCTATCACACAGACATACCATTTTGACCTTTTCATTGCTCAAGAGAAAACTCAAAACAATTTTCACTAAATACTTGCCTATAGTTGTTAAAATATCAGCAAGAATTGAACTGCCAGCTCTCTATGGGCCATCAGAACCCAGACATGAAAACAGGTGTATAAAACTTGCCTGTAGAAGTTTAGACACCTGGTTCAGTCCTGTGAGATGCTAGTCTCTCAGAAAGTGTGTTTGTGGTTTTTAGGATTAGGTACTAAATGGTTAGAAAAGAAAATAATGATAGACAAGGAGATAGTTATTCAGAAGAAATCCACTTTCTTCCTTGGACTGCTAATGTGAAAGCCCCTGTGGTCCTTTGAAAGTCACTCGTGGTCGTGTGAAAGCTGTCCATTTCTATAACTCAGTTTGCTCGGATTGCACAATAATAAAGGGGGGGCCAGAGTCTTTACGCAATATCCCTGACTCTGGAATGATCAAAGCCGAGCTTACTAAAGCTCAGAGACAGGAACCAGGAGAAAGATCACTCAAGTCTCTCAGACAGAGGCAGGGTAAAGAAGGGAAGGTGGAATACTTCTGCAGAAAAGAAGCAAACGCTTCCCTGTCTCCATTCTCACGGCAGCTGCTTGGTTCTGACGTCACGTAGGAAGTGGGGCCCGTCCTCCAGGTGCTTCCAGGGCTTCTCTGGCAAAATGACGTTGGCTATCACTGCTCTGGAAACAGGAATGATGCAGTTTTATCTTAATAGCAAACTTCGACCTCACTAGGGCTTTTCATGTCATGGAGTTTAAGCAAAAAGAAAAGAAAATGGAGTTCTTCTGAAGAGTTGTGATCCAGTTGTACCTAACATCATACCCAACACGTAAGCTTCAGATGGCTCTCAATGTTTGGGACAAGATGAAGTGTTTTCCACAACCTTCCATACTTGGATATCATCTTCATTTTGATACTATTTGCAACCCTTTTGCCTAATGAAATTAGTCTACTGTGATAATTTAGACTAAAACCTAGTGGGATCTATTTTGGCAGTTCTTAGGATATATATTTTTTCAATGCACCCTTCAGATTCCAACAGTCTTTCCTCCCTCAGTTTTGATCTATAATTTATGAATTCATTCAGAGTTTTTCATCCATCAGAATAACACTGCTTTGCATGAAATATTTTATTGGTTTCCTATGTATTTTCATCATTAAATGGACTTGGGTTATAACTCAACTCTTTGTGCACAAGCTGGCCTTTCATATTGTCATCAATAATTCATAAGCACCATAGAATTACTTTAGACTTTTTAAACCAAATATCTTGAATCTTAACATATCCAGTGTCATTTCAGCTTCTAGTTTAGAAAAAAAAAAAAGGACTATTCTGTAGCTATACTTGCTGTCTCACAGGACTTTAAAGAAGAATTTTTTCCCATTTCTTGTAAGTTCAAGATGTTTTAAAAACCTGGAGTATAGGAATATTGCAGCTCAGAAGCAATCAAACCATGCCAATTAAGTGACCTTACTGATTGACAAGCACCACAGGGGTCAGAGAAGGAAATTGACCATCACAGCTCGTCACAGAAATCTCCTATGGGTAGCAGTGCAAGTCCAGAAGGTACTGACAAGGCTCCTAGGTGGGTTACTAAGCTACACATGTGCTTCTCCCTACTCTCTTAGGAAGCCACAGTGAAATTATAGTGCAGACCAACAGAATTCATCTGGCTGCACATGGAATAGAAACACACTGATGGTTTTGTAACCTTGTGAACTAAGTCTGGGAATAATGAAAACTTAGAAGGCATTTTTTTTAAAGCTCCAAGTCAATTAGCTAGTTAGGGCTTCCTTCCTTCCTTCCTTCCTTCCCTTCCTCCCTCCCTCCCTCACTCCCTCCCTCCCTCCTTCCTTCCATCTTCCTTTCTCTCTTAAGTTGTAAGAGTTGTGAGTTGTGGGGGACAGGGAGGTTCTTCTCTGAGTTATTTTGTTCAATTTCAGTTTTTATTAAGTCTCATTCTGATCAGTACTCATAAAATAGTGCAGCACATCTCATCTACTTCCTTATAGTCAAGTAAAATCTTTCTTCTTTGGAATAGTGGATTTTTGGTTTTCTTAGCACCAGTGCATCTCAAAAAAATGAGGCCATTTCCTTTACAAATTTGTGTTTTCATAAAATAAGGTATTATTCAAAAACAGAATCATTTTTTCAATCCGCCTGGCATGTACAGCACTGCTACATAGAACCATTATGAATTGTGAGGCGCAAGATGAATAAAGGGAGTCTTTGTTCATTTGCTACTTTAATTTCCAAATTAACCAAAAATGAATCATTCTCTATAGCTGAGTGCAGCTGATTTCACTGGAAATGTTTAAATGGTGACAGTGATCACTGCATTTCACAATTGTCTTTTGCTTGTATTTGTAATTGTGATGTCATAGCTGTTTTCTGATTTTATAAATCAAGTAATCCTCAATCAAGTCCTCTTGCCTGCCCGGGGAAATAGCACTGCCCAAGGGAAGGACTGCAGGACCCTTTCACTTGATTGTTCAGCATGGTGCATTTCTCATTTTTAATGATATACCTGTGATTCCTTTTTAAACTTCAGATTCTGAGTTAGTAGGATGGAGTGGGACACAAGATTCTGCATTCTAACAAGCCCCTCCTTGGTCATTGCTGTTGCTGCTGACTACAGACCAAACTTTGAGTGGCAAGATTTTTTAATATATTTGCAGAAAAATCCTAAATTTAGTAATGTGGGCATTGGAGGGGGAAGGGTAGATTTAAATAGGTGGCACTTGGTATTTCTAAGTGATTGAATGTGTTGGTTCATTAGGGCTGGTCTGGTCCTTCACATCCTGGAGGACGTAGCCTGTGTACAAAGCCTGCTTCCCAAGTGCCCCTCTACAACTCTTTAAGTAGCAAACTAGTGAACAACTTATATTCTCTTTCCTTGAGGATGAAGGTATTTTATTGTGTTCCTATCTTAATATGCCTGGAGCCTTGCATATTCCCTGGCACCTGACCAATTAATGAGGTGAATTAAACTAAACTGAATTAACTGAACTTCATTAGAATAATATGGAGATGACCTGGTTTTGTCCATTTAAAATCACTGTTTCCTCCTTAAGGGATTTATATTGCTTTTATGCTCAAATTTAAAATTCTGCTATCAGTAATTAATAACTAATTTCCAGATTTATGTGCTTGTTTTAAATCATATTTGCTTAAAATGCAACATGAAAAAATAAATGTAAATACAAATTAAAGGTAATTACGACTCAAGGCTCTTTTATTCCTAAGGATACTAAACAAAATTTTGTCTATAATAAGAGGCGTTTGGCAATCATTTCTTACATAAGAATTTTGTTCTGGCGATAAGAGGAAGGCTTTTCTGGACTATATTGATAAATCCAAACTTCTCTGCGTATGAGACAGTACAGATTACCTTTGAGTCCTCCCTCAAATATGACAGTCCAAAAGATTTCACCTAGTGTATTTGCAGCCTTGCAGGATTAGAACAGATTATTGTATCAATCACCATACTACATGTGTGAAACTTTTTTTTTCTTACTTATTCCAACTATTTTTAATTGCTGTTTGGAATTTATTACATCTCAAGTTTCATGTGTGAAACTTGAATACTATTTTTCACTTTTTCCTTTCAGTATTTGATTTTGCTTTTAATTTGTACAGTTAATATATTAAAAGTCTATAATTGGCTTTTAGTATATTCAGACTTGTGTATCCATCACCAAAATCAATTTTAGAACATTTTCATTGCTCCCAAAAGAGAAATTCTGTACCCCTCAGCTGTCACACCCCCCAGTTATTCCTTTCTCCCAGCCTATGGCAACCACTAATCTACATTCTGTCTCTATGGCTTTCCTGTTCTGTGAATTGCATATGAATGGATTCATCCAATATGTGCTCTTTTGTGACTGGCTTCTTTCATATAGCATGTTTTCCAAGTTCATCCATGTTGTAGCATGTATCAGTACTTCATGCCTTTTATGGTTCAATAACATTCCATTATATGTCTATACCACATTTTATTTATCTGTTCATTGATTGGTGGATATTAGGTTGTTTCAACTTGTTAGCTATGATGTTTTAAAGCTACCATAAACATTCATGTACAAGATTTTATGTGGAAGTATGTTTTCATTTCTCTTGGATATACACCTGGAAGTGGCTATGTTGAGCCACATGTAATAATATATTTAACCTTTTGTGGAACGGCCAGACTCCACTGCTACCAGTGTGTGAGGGCTCCAGTTTCTCCACCTTCTTTCCAGTGCCTGCTGTATCTATTTTCATAATAGCCATCCTGTGTGCATGCAGTAGTGTCTCATTGTGGTTCTGCTTTGCATTCCCTGACCAATCATGTTGTACCTTTTCATATGCTTGTGACCATTTTTGTATCTAATTCTTTGGATGCATGTTAATTCAGATCCTTTGACCCACTTTAATTGACTTATTTTTCTTTGTATTATTGAGTTGTAAGAGTTCTTTATAGGATACATGAATTGCAAAAATGTTTCCCATTCTTGGGGGCTGGCGGAGTGGCTCAAGTGGTAGAGCACTTGCCTAGCAAGCGTGAGGCCTGAGTTCAAACCCTAATGAGTTGTCTTTTCAATCTATAGATAATGTCTATCAATGCACAAAAGTTGTCAATTTTGATGAAATTCCGTGTATTTTACCCTTTGGTTGCTTATCTTTTTGATGTCATATCCAGTATCATGAACCCTCTGTGTTCTTCTAAGTCTTTTAATTGTTGGCCCCAATTTAGTTCTTTGATCACTTTTGAGTTAACTTTTATGTGTACTGTTTTCTTTTAAATTTTTTAAAAGTGCTGTGATCTTGGCTATCATGCAAGTTTGAACAGAGCCCTAAGAACATATCTCTCTGCGGAGTATAACCTCGAGACCTCCCGACATGAGGGCTTAGACATTATTGAGAATGCAGTTGACAATTTGGAGCCGAGGAGTGATAAGCAGAGATTCATGGAGATGTACCCTGCTGCATTCTGTCCACCAATGAAGTTTGAGTTCCAGTCTCACATGGGTGACGAGGTCAGTAATTGATTATTTTAAAATCAATAAATTGTATTTTCATTTATACTTGTCCTCACCTGCTGTAACCCAACAGTTGTGAGTTGTGAGAATTCTCAGTCATTCTCTCTCTCCTGCCTTTGTACAAGATCTCAGTATAATATTATACTAAGATTAGCCACCCCCACCATTTAAAGCAAGGATCAAACAAATAAATGCACAATTTTCCTAAGTGTAAGCACTGAACCATTCCACCTCAAAACATTCAACTTTGAATTTAAAATAAAACAGTTTGCTGGTCCAATAGAATCTCCTTGTAATCCTGATTTAATATCTCCATCCAAAAATACAGGAAAATGGCAAAAAAAAAAACAAGTGAGGAAAAAAATGCAAAATAATTTTAAGACTCAAATTGGCTCATAACTGATAAAGTAAGCATCAGGAATTATATATTATATCTTATATTCTTTATATGAATTAGGTTTATATCCTATTTTGCCAAAAGGAAACATTTGAATAGATTGTGAATTATAATTGTTTATATTATTATCTGTAAACAGGAAAAAACAACTAAGGGAGCATGCTGCACAGCACTTGATGATCCAGCTGTGCAAAATGAAACTCAGAGAAAAATTCAGTTCCAGCTTGCTGTAATTGATGCCTATTTTTTAAAATAGAGGTAATTTGATGGTTGATAGATAGATAGATAAATGATGATGATGATAGATAGATAGATGATAGAGATAGGTAGGTGATAGATAGCTAGGTAGATAGACAGACAGACATGAATATATCTATGCCTGTTGTATTTCTAATCAAATTTCCTTATTCTGCCTCAGCCTCCCAAGTGCTGGGATTACAGGTGTGTACCACCACACCCAGCATAATACATGCATTTTAACATGTAAAATGAAGAGTTTATCTGACCCAGCATTATCTTTCTAAAAATATTTGCTTTCTTAATTTTTCAGTTGTGGATAAGCTAAACATGGATTGATAAAATAGCACAGACACATGACTTCGGTTGGATGGATGTTAATGATTTTGTCTTACTATTTTACTTTTGGTGGTACTGGGGATTTGAACTCAGGGCCTCCCACTTGCTAGGCAGGCACTTGAGCCATGCCCCTAGCCCATGATTTTGCTACTATTATTTTAATGAAGTAGGTCTGTTGCCCTCTTTTAATAACAATCTCTTACAGAGAGTAATAATACCCATGATGTTTTGGTTATCCTGTTAAAAGGAACTTCCATCAACCAAAAAGAATTTCTATGATAAAGAAAATGAGAAGAAGTTGTTTCTGGTGCAATTTTAATAATGCTTTAATTTTGACTGTTATGTACAGTTCAGAGGTCAAAGTATCTTCTTCCAAGCTGGGTACCAGTGGCTCACACCTGTAATCCTAGCTACTTGGGAGGCTGAGATCAGGAGGACTGCAGTTTGAGGCCAGCCTGAACACAGTTTATGAAACTCCCATCTCAGCCAATAATTGAGCACAGTGGCACACCTGTCATTCCAAGCTATGCAGGAGGCTGAGATCAAGAGAATCATGGTTCCAGGCCATCCCAGGCAAAAAAGTTCATGAGACCCTATCTCAATGGAAAAAAGCCAGGTGTGTTGTCTCATGCCTGTCATCCCTGTGATAGCATATGAGTAAAATAGGAGGATTGTGGTCCAGGCTAGCCTGGGCAAAAAGCAAGACCCTATTTCCAAATTAGCAAGAGCAAAATGGGCTGGAGACATGGCTCAAGTGGTAGAGTTCCTGCTTAGCAAACTTGAAGCTCTGAGTTCCAATCCCAGTAGCACAAAAAAGTATGTATCTTCCTCCAAAGCCTAAGGTAAGTTGCTTCTTCAAGTTTTGGTGAATTATGTGATTTGGCCAATATTGGCTAGCAGCTGTCGTGGTGGAAAAGATGCTAAGTGGTCCTTTACATCTTCTGAGATTTTAATATGAGCAGGCATCCTTCTAAGTGCATTTTGCATACCTTATCTCTTTCCATTCTCACAACATCCCAGGGATATAGAAACTCTTTTTAATCACATTTTACAGCTGAGGAAACTGTGGTCTTGTTGCTTGACCACATCACATCGTGACCCAGATGTTAGGTGGCAAAGCTAGAATTTGAGCACACCTGGGCCTGCAGAGCTCACACCCTACCAGCAAACTCTACTGCCTGCTTTACTTATGCCTGTACTTGAACTATCCTTTGCGCTCTGCCCTCTGCCCAGTGGTCATTGAGTGCTCTCTCAGGAACTTCTCTTCTAAAAGCTTACTGTCCTCCCAGTCATAGCCAGGCCAGGCGGCTACATTCTGCCCTTGCCACTTACGTCCAGCTCTGTGTTTAAAACTGAAGCTTTGAGGTGGCTGTTTAAAGATGTAGCCAGGCATGGTGGCTCACACCTGTGATTCTAGCACTCCAGAGGTGGAGACAGGAGGAATGTGAGTTCCAGGCCAGCCTAAGCTACATAGTGAGACAGACCATCAAAAAAAGAAAAGTAAAAAAGTAAGTCTTGAAAGGAGTGGTGTGACCTGTGTGACATTTGAATAGCAGACTCATGCTTCCAAGGCTGGTTGGTGGCACTCTGTTGTAACTACAGTTTCTGGTTATCCATCAGGTGTGTCAGGTCAGTGCCCAGCAGCCAGTCCAGGCCGAGCTCATGCTGAGGTACCAACAGCTGCAGTCACGACTGGCCACACTCAAAATCGAGAATGAGGAGGTGAGTGTGCGTCCTGCCCTGCCAATATCTGAATTCCCACGTAAGCTGGAAGAGCTCTCATGGCCTGAGCATGTTTGCTGTGCTAAATGCAATCTCTTCATCAAGCACATTACTTTCAGGGCTCCAACAGTATTCCTTTGTAGAGGATAAATGCAAAAAGTCTATATTCTTCCAGAAATATTTTACCAAAGAGTTACTGCATAGATGTATAAACATTGCTTGTTTTCTTAAGTTACAATTCATACTTGAAAATAGCTGCTTGGATTTTCTATTTCAACATATATATCCAAAAATATATAGTCATGAATAAAATGCAACTTTTCGCTCACAAGTTAATCCTAACTTTCAAAATTAGTTCTTGCATTTTTTTCCTTATGCTTTTCTGTATTCTCTAAATTTTTGTACTAAGCATGGCATTACTTAAAAAATTAATGCAAGAATCACATTTTGTTTTGTTTGTTTGTTTGTTTAATTCCTATTTTTTTATTATTCATATGTGCATACAATGCTTGGGTCATTTCTCCCCCCTGCACCCACCCCCTCCCTTACCACCCACTCCACCCCCTCCCTCTCCCCTCCACCCCCTCGATACCCAGCAGAAACTATTTTGCCCTTATCTCTAATTTTGTTGAAGAAAGAGTATAAGCAATTATAGGAAGGACCAAGGGTTTTTGCTGGTTGAGATAAGGATAGCTATACAGGGAGTTGACTCACCTTAATTTCCTGTACATGTGTGTTACCTTCTAGGTTAATTCTTTTTGATCTAACCTTTTCTCTAGTTCCTGGTCCCCTTCTCCTATTAGCCTCAGTTGCTTTTAAGGTATCTGCTTTAGTAAGAATCACATTTTGAAATAGTACTTGAATGAGGATAGAAAAATGTTTATTTGCTGACATACATTTAAAAGGATGGAATATGAAATGTGAATTATAAATATATGTTGAGCCAGGAAGCAATTATACAATTCAGATTCTTGTTTCTGAAATGAACTTAATTGGATCCACATTCTTCTAAAATAAAAATATGAAACACAAATGTTTCTTGTATTGGTCAAGGCTCTTAGTTGTAGTCTATAGAAATCCAAATCAGCAAGGACTTCCTCAACAGAACCCCAGCATCCCAGCAACTAAGAAAAAGGATGGGCAAATGGGACTACATGAAATTAAAAAGCTTCTGCACCACAAAAGAAATGTTCTCTAAACTGAAGAGACCACCCACTGAGTGGGAGAAAATATTTGCCAGCTGTACATCAGACAAGGGACTGATAACCTGAATATACAGGGAGCTTAAAAAACTAAACTCCCCAAAAATCAATGAACCAATAAAGAAATGGGTGACTGAACTAAAAAGAACTTTTTCAAGGGAAGAAATCTAAATGGCCAAAAAACACATGAAAAAATGCTCACTATCTCTAGCCATAAAGGAAATGCAAATCAAAACCACACTAAGATTCCACCTCACCCATGCTAGAATAGCCACCATCAAAAACACCACCAACAACAAATATTGGCAAGGATGTGGGGGAAAAGGAACCCTCATACACTGCTGGTGGGAATGTAAGCTGGTATAACCACTTTGGAAAACAATATGGAGGCTTCTTAAAAAACTAAACATAGATCTGCCATATGATCCAGTAATCCCACTCCTAAGGACATACCCAAAGGAATGCTACACGTTACTCCAGAGGCACCTGCACAGCCATGTTTATTGCAGCACTATTCACAATAGCCTGTTATGGAAACAGCCAAGATGCCCCACTACTGATAAATGGATTAAGAAAATGTGGTATTTATACCCAATGGAATTTTACTCACACATGAAGAACAATGAAATCCTGTCATTCACAAGTAAATGAATGGAACTGGAGAACATCATCTTAAGTGAAGTTAACCAGGCTCAAAACCAAAAGTCATATGTTCTTCCTCATATGCAGATTATAGACCTAAAACAAATGCAGTAATATTATTGGACATGGGTCACACACTAAGGGGAGAACACATACAGGAGGAATAGGGAAAGGTAGGAAACCCAAAACTTGGAAGTGTTTGATGTGCCCACTATAGAGGAGCTAATATTGTAACCTTAAACTGACAGAGGCCACGATGGGAAAGTGACTGGGAAGTAGTGAAGAGGTCTGGTAAAGATGAATCAGGTTATAATACACTTGTACATGGAAGCAATGCTAGGAGTCTCTCTATATAGCTATCCTTATCTCAACTAGCAAAACCACTTTGTCTTTCTTATTATTGCTTATGTCTTCCCTTCAACAAAATTGGAGAAGAGGGCAGAACAGGTTCTGCCTGGAAGTGAGAGGGGCTGGGAGGAGAGGGAGGAGGCAGGGGGCAGGTGGGGAGAGATGGCCCAAACAGTGTATCCACATATGAATAAATGAGTAAATAAACCAAAAAAAAAAAAACCCAAACCAAACTTACTTAAGTTAAAAAGTTAATTTAGTGGTAAAGGTTTGCAGTAGCCTTTGACATTATGGATTTGTGCTATATGATAGCATTAGGAATTTCTCTCTCTCCCTCTCCCTCTCCCTCTCTCTCATCTTTATCACTTCAAAGTGGTTTCTTCATGTGTGTGGGTAGGGTTTGTGTATTGGTTGAGTTTGGGGCATAGATTCAGAACTACATGGTCCCTGAAAGCCTTGCTATCTCCCTTCATCCCAGAATCCTTATCTCTGAAATAAGACTGACTTTCCATTGGCCGGGCTTTAGACATGCCTATTCTGGACTCTAAGCATTACATCCAGGAAGCAGAATTCTCTAATTGGCCAGACTAGATATTGTGCCACTCCTGTGCCCCGTGATTGACAGAAATAATGTATTTCTAAAGACAGAAAATTTCCAAAACGATGGAATGTGAACCAGGAAGAAAACAAACTCAGACTGATAGAGTGGATTATCAAAATTCACTTAAGTACCCTGTTTTATTTTAATTCCACTGGGATGTTTTGAGCTATGAGTTATGTTAAAAAAGAATAATGTGTTTTTAGACTGTTGTAATTTGATCAAAACCCATTTTAGCTTCCTGTCTTCCATTCTTACCAGAGAAATCAAACCAGCCCTTTTTAAAGATGCAGCTGATATCATCTCTGTATAAAGTCCCACAAATGAAACTTTCCAAAGGAAAGGTATTGCTCTCCTTGAAGCAGTATTTTAGAGCTTAGCATTTTGGCTAAGAACCAAAAAAATAGTCACCTAATGCAGTTTACTGGACTCTGGTAGAGTCACAGTTATATGTCTAATGGCTCTCCATTTTTTCATATTGCCTCTGTTTTTTTGGGAAACACCTTTAAACTCTAGGAAAAATACTGGTATACACTGGCTCAAAACTGGCAACCCATAGGCCTTGTTTGGCTTTCCAAAGTTTTTGACTGTTTTAAAAAAAAAGCAAGAAAATATTGCACCTCGGCCCTGTGTGGCTTCATGAAGTAAAGACCTGAGGCATCTCAATTCTACTTCACCTAGTCATTCAACTCCCAGTGTTCTCACATTGGACGTGTCTGTTTCTTATACTGTCTGGCCTCTGCCAGCTCAATGACCCTTAATATTTACCACTGCAAGCATAACATAGAACTCTCGGTGACCCTATCAACTTGTAAGGGCAGGTCCGTGCTTCTTGGATGGCTAACTAAAAATTAGGCCCAAATGGAACTGAAATTGTCCTGACATTTTTCTTGCAAGCATGACTATGGTTTTTATGATTTATTGGATACAGAGCAAAATTCACTGTAATGCAATGGGATTCCCAAATGACAAGGAAGATGCAAATTCCAGATTTTTGACAATCAGAATCAAGGTGTGTAGGGAGGGAAGACGTCATCGTAGATACTGAAGTATCCTGGAGAATAGAACAGTTTGGTTGTCATTCTGGTTCTCCCGGGATGAGCTGATGGTGAAACAGAAGTCACAGGACAAGAGGCTTGGAAGACAAGTTAAGGCATTTTGTCCCTATGGTTCAGTTCATTCCAGTGTAAAACATGGGTGTGCATCTTTGACACTCCAGATATTTTGCCAGGTGTGGGATACAGAGATGATTAAGTCACAATGACCTTCTGACCAGCCTGAGAGATAGACTACCACAAGCAATGTGCTTGTGAAAAACCTGGTTTTCATTGCTCATTTGGAGTCCTACATAAATTTGAAGTAATAGATTTGGAGTCTGTACCATGAATGAGGAGTTTGCTTCCATCTTCCTCAGATAAGAGCAAGGACAGAAAATTGACACATTGGTGTCAAACCAAAACATACAAGTTAAGAAACACATATGTAATTCTCTGCCTCTGTATAACAGTAGGTCCAAAATGACTGGAAAGATTTCAATTAACTAATAATAGTTATGACTGTCCTGTGAAAATCAGCATCGAGGGACAATTTCATCCAAGTTTACCTAAGAATGGACAGAGTGTGAACCTTTTCACCAAATGTTAGACTCCTGTACATTGTGGGAAGCACTTGGAACTGTAGGTCCCCTTAGAAGAGAGTGTCTATGCTAAGAGACAGCAGACCATTTTCGGTTCACAGACAAATTTTCTTTGCTCTACAGTGTTTCATTTTTAAAATTTTGTTGCTGTCAGTCAAAAATTGGGAGTTTTGCATGTAAGTATCACTAAAAAATTAGAAGCTCTGGTCATGCTAAGCCCACACTTCTGCAGGACAGTAACAGGCTGGAGCTGAATGATAGAGACTCTTCCTTCAGACACAGAGCATATACGTCCTCTTTGCCATGCTCCCCACTGAGCCCACTTGCCTCATTTTATTTACTTGCCTGGCCATTAAAGTTACCTGAATTTGCAACATCTGCCTTAAAATAACGAAGAGAACAATAAACATTTGTGAAATGGTCTCCATAACTTGCAAGTTGTAAAAACTGAAAGTAAAGATTTGAGAAGGGCTTAATTAAATTTGTTGTTGATGGGGATTCAGATTGGATTGTGACATTTATGGTCGCTTCACAACTTTACTGTTTACCTGGTAAATTTTTTTTTTAATGAGCTTTCAGTTTCATTATGCTGTAAATTTGCCTCCAGGGGACCTCAGTCTCATGATTGCAACTCCCAGTCAGAAGGTGACTATTTATTAGTGCCCACCTATGTTGTGCATAGAGAATTAGAGCAGAACCTGCTACCACCCAGCTTTGTTCCCAATTTTTTACTTTCTTTTATTTAGTTAAGATGATAACTTATTATTAAAATTGAAAATTAATAAACATTGTTCTTGAAGCCCACACTTTAAAAAAGCTACATCTAATCACTGATATCCTTTCTCACTATTAGCATTGTCATAACTCTTTCCAATCTAAAGTTACACCATCTTGTGTCTGCTTTCCCAAAGTTCACTTTTTGTTTTTGTCAAGGATTTTCTGCTAAGGATCATTCCTGTTGCTACTTTCTTCCAAAGTGGGACTCTGGCATAATTCCCAGTATATTACAGCCTGCTTAGTGTTTCTCTTTCTTCTGTTACATGTACATAGCTCAAGAAAGAGAAAACTGAATTTATTAAGTAGAGCTACTATCATATTTTTTATCAAATCATGTTTTTAGGACAATTTCAGGTCACTTGCCCCAGTATTTGGTCTGGAAAATAGAGTTTTCATTGGCCTTTCATGTCTTGTTGTGAATAAAAGTCTTCATGTGAGGACTGGGGTGTGGATGAAGTCTCATGCCTAGCAAGCATGAGACCCTGAGTTCAATCCCAATATCAACAAAACAAATTTTAAATAAAACTCCTCAATATGAAGCAACCAGACTCTCTTAAATTACACGAGTGGATTGCCACCCTGAGGGGAGTGGAAAAAAGCAGCCTGTAATTCTCAATCAATTTGCAAAACAGTATTTAATGAACTGATAGCCCCATGTAAATTTTCCTAGTACCACTTAAAATCTTCCACCAGCCAGCTCACTACAGAGTATTTCACAGGCTATTCCAAAAATATACTCCGTATCCAAGATATTTTCAACAGTAATGAGCATGATTTTAGGCAAATTGAGACAATTTTCAGATATGGGTAATTGAGGAGAGTAAGAGAAATTTCAGTTACACCCCCTACCTTGGATAGAAAAATCATACTTTCCCCAAAATTTCCCATGGAACCAAGGACTGCAACAAAAGATGAGGCATGTGAATCCATGATTGAACCCTCATTGGGAATTCTCAAATTGTTTTAAGATTTGGTATAAAATTTGTTAGTGGTAATTGTTGTTTTAGAACTTCTCTGTGACCTGCAGTTCCATCTTCACTCACTTACGTATCTCCAGCTTGATCGTATCTTCAGCCTAAATGAAAGATAACTGCCATTTTCCCCTGAGTGATGATGTCATCTTGGCCCAAACTGAAAATAGGATTGACTGTCTTTCACTGGAAATGCATGTTTTTGTTTTTTGTTTCAAATGTGTTTCAACTCATGGAAGGGAAGGCCTTGTCCTGGAAGAAGCCCAAGGGGAATGAAGAGTATCTCTAGAAAGAGTATCCCAACAAAAAAGGGCAGTGCGCAGGGTGACTGGGAGCAGAGCAGTCACATGCCATTGGTGTGTGCCAAGCATCTCCTGGCATCCATGGTAGTGAATAGAGGATGACTTCTGTTTCTACCTTTCAATCAGCAAATTTTTTGGATAATCTGCTGTGGTCCAGGCAGTGTGTCATCACTAGCGACAGAAAGATTAATGAGTATTCCTGACTTCAGCTTACCCAGTATATGTAGAAACATAGACCTCTAAACAGTATGGCAGATGTTTGTGAGAATGGGTTGGGGTTATGCTCCTCAGACCACAGTCAGTATCAGACCCACCCACATGGGAAGAAGGACCCCATTAAATCAGAGTCAAGGTGGACTGTAGGAAAACAGGTTTTCTGAGACACAGCTGACAATAGAGATTTGTTCCAAGAGTCTCTGGGCAATGATTCTCTTTTCTTCCTTAGATTAAGTTTGTGTCATTGCTGAGAATGAATTTTGCTTGAAAATGAGGAGCTCCCAGTATTTGTAAATATCTTAAAATCAGGCACTTAGATTAATAGTGTGACTCCTGCAGTAGTGATATGACCATCCCCCTGCAAAAAGTAAATAAATAAAACCTTGTAGGGCAGCAAAGATTGGGCTGGTTTTTCAAATCTGGTAACACCTTATCCACACAGACTGGGTCACCAGTACTAGCTAGCAACCCTGTTGGGGAACAGGGAGAAGGGAAGACCATGGCAAAATGTGCTATTTCTGCTCTTATCATCTATGGCCCACACTGGCAGTAAGTTTCTGTACCCTAGACTGATTAACTAGTAATTAAATCCAGTCGTGTGTGTGTGTGTGTGTGTGTGTGTGTGTGTGTGTGTAGTCCCTTTCTGCGAAGTTTAACAATCTAAAATGATACAGTGCTATATAATTGGAATACACACAAGTCAGTGATAGCAAGGAAGAAGTAGCTAAGTGGAGAGGGGAAGGAAAGATGTGGATCACTTTCACAGATAGAGTAACAAGTTCTCAAAGATGAACAGGCCTGCATGCAAAGCAAGTGCAAGGCACCATGCCATTAAATAGCAGTGTGTCTTATTACATGAATTATTTGTTCTCCCTAAATTTATATATTGAAGTGCTATCCCAGTGGCTCAGAATGTGACTGTACTTAAAGACCTTTACAAAGCTTATCAAATTAAGGTGAAGTCATTTACGTAGGCCCTAATCCAGTGTGTCCTTATCTGTGTCTGCCTTGAATATAGACACAGATAGAGAGAAGACAATGTCAAGAAACACAGAAGGTAGCCATTTAGAAGCCAGGGAGAAAGGCCTAGTACAAATCCTTCCCTCACAAGCACTTAGAAGGAACCAACCCGCAGGATCACACCTTGATCTTCGACATCTATCCTCTGGAACTGTGAGCAGTATAAACCTCTGTTGGTCAGTGTGCGTGGGGAATGAGATCACCAAAATGACTTTTCTTATTCTCCCCAAAGACTGTAATGTCTAGGGATAAAAAAACAAAAGAGCCAGTCTACAAAAAGACTGCAGAAATCACCTTTTCCCCATGATTTGTGCTCATCCACAGCTCAGAGTTCAGGCTTCCTGGCCAACTCCTCCATGAAGCATATTCCTTGGAATTTTTGAATTCCTTGTCAAAATCTTTGGCCTTTCTCTTCTACCAAAGCCAATGGTGTTTTCCTGCTGCTGATAGAAGTCATTGCAAGCATCATGTTAGCTGTTTCTCATTTGCCTTATTGTATCCCCTGTGTCTTATTAATGTGACTTGGGTATGTCAAAAGCTGGTGTTATTCCTCACGGAGATCATCCCAAGAGATTACAGAGTCCCAACCACAGTGCCTGGTGGCTTCTGTCACATGTTTATTTCAACCTGGCAATTCCAAATTTAACTGTGACAGCACTGCTTTTAAGTTGGAACAAAGAAGAACAAATTGTTGATTTTGATTTTATGTGTGTCTTCTATTTGTGTGCATTTGATAACACAGCTGCCTCTGATTACACTACCCATAAGAACATGGTTCTAGTGAAATAGACCATCTCTGTTGTAGCTCAAGGGAACATCCTTTAATTGCCAAATTTCAACAAGTTAACAGGTTATTTTAAAAAAACTATAAAATATAGGTTTTAATGATTATCGTGATTTTTGTTTCATTTTGTTGGTTTATTTATTCTATTTTGGGGCTGGGGAACTACGTTTTGTCATTGATTTTCATGATTGATAGGTTTAATTAAAACCCATCAAAGCATTCGATTACAAACCTTACATAATTTTATTCATATAGTTTCACCCACCAACATCTTAAGAACATTGTATGTTTTTCAACCTTCTATAGTTTGAAGCTCTGCTATACTTTACATAGTGACTTCTAGTAACTTCTTCCTTGAGCCATTTCCCAAAAAAGATGAACCCTCGTAGCTTAAAAGTTTTCAAGTCTTATCATGTTTATTGCCAGTATTAATTCTCAGATCCAGCACTTACCATCTCTACTCATTGTCTCTGGACTCCACTGAGGTCTCCTGACTCACCTTCTGCTTTCTGTCTCTTTTCCTTTTATTGTTCATCAGCTCAATAGAATGTCATTCTGAACTGTCATTCCCAGTTGTTATACATGTCAGTGGTCCCTACTCATTCTCAATTAGGGGCTTCATTAGCATGTCATCTCCATGTGCTATACCTTCCTTCTACTCATACAAAGCTACTTTTTATAGCCCCAAGGAGCCAGGGTGTCTTGACTCCTTCTTCTGCCTGGAACCCCATCCTCAGTGAATGCCTACTCATCCTTCCATGCATGACTCAGAACTTTCCTTCTCACTGACTCCTCAAACAACAGGGTTTTACTCTCTCACTAGTACTTCCATATGTACTGGTAAACATCAAGAGTTTAACTGAATAACGAAGTAATACCGTTCATTTAATAATATTTCAGTTATTTATATATAGGTACATGTAAAAGGTTTTCAGTTTTCTAATGTGAACATAAAACACTTGGAGTCATAAAATAGTCATATATCTACCTTCAATATTTAATAATTTAAATTGGTATATAAATATTTAAAATCATATAGAAAATAATGGTTTAATTAGAAAGTGATTTCTTTCTTCATTTACAATTTTATGGAGGCTCCCCAGGACACACATATCACATGTCCTGATGCTGTGTTTGTCATAACCATGAGCCACAATTTGAGTCATCAGGCACACTCTTGCCAGAGTACACCATCTTTGATTTTTAATTTGTTTAAGACACAATGTTTTGACAGTACTGGTTCAAACTCAGGCTTATAACTGCTAGGGCAGGTGCTCTGTAAACTTGAACCTTACCCCAATCCAAGATTTACAGTACTTCTAAAACCTTGTGCATAATGCCTCATTGGAAATTTTGCGTATAGAACGCCATGACTAACAGGATAGTGAGTCACTTTGACTGTAAGATGCACAATACATGACCTGCTTAAAGTAACTGTTTATTAATGTGACTTAACTGATCTTAATATGCTTGTTTACAATGTCTGTCCTTGGGTGCATTGTGCATTAGTCCCAGGAATAAGCTGTCTATTAAGTTTTTTTTACTTCTTTTTTTTTTTTAGCCAACACCTACCATGTGATCTTTTTTTAGCATTCAAACTAGTATTAAGGCTGTTGTCTTTCTTTCCCAAACAATAGGATGCTGGCTACATTATAAAATAGTATATCAGTAAAGAGTTACGGTGTTCCTAAAAACTTCTTTTACCTGTGTAGGAAAGGAAAAAACTATCAGTTTACCATCAGACTTTGTAAGCAAAGGTGGGTTTCATGACCTAAAGCGTAAATAAATAAAAAAAGCTCCTTATGGGATAAGTAAAATTTAAAGCTCCTAGAAAACTACAGAGAATAGAATCTTTGTGGGCCATGAAGATAGGAAAATAATTCTTAAACAAGACAAAAAAGTACTAATCTTTAAAGAAAATAATTGATAATTGATTATTACTGAAAGTAAAAGCTATCACTGAACAATAATGAAAGAGTGAAAAAGCCAACATGGAAAGAATTTATAAGGGTGTAACTAACAAAAGGACATCTTACCACTCAGACCTACAAAATCAATAAGAAAACGACTCAATAACCCAGTAAAAATATGAATAAAGAAATTTCAACAAGCATTTACCAACGGAGGAGATCACATACCTATCAACATTGATCGGTAATGTTTTCAATCTTAATGCCACCAGGGAAACTGCACCCAATGAGGACACCACTGTTGCAGCCAAGCACAAATATTGAGTTAAACTGAGAAGTACTGGACAATACCAAATGTTGAATGAGTATGTAGAAGCAACAGGAAATCTCATAGTTCTGGTGGGAATATGAATAATAACAATATTTTGGAAAACAGTCTTAGCATACCTATGCAATAGCAATTTTATTTCATGTATGTGTGGCCCAACAAAAACCGTGCTGCATAGCACTGTAATTCATAGTAACCAAAACTAAAAGTAAGTCATCGATCAATAGTGAAAAGACATGAATATGGTTGCTATTCTTATGTGGAGACACTTGCTATACTCACAAGCAAATTGGAATGGCTTTTATCAAGATCAGCCAAAAGAAATTAAGATAAAAACTATACATGGCTGTGGTCCATTTATGTTAGAGTACAAAAAAGACAAAACTAATAGTATGATGTTAAAAACCAGGCTAGAGTACCACTTAGAAGGAAGGAGCGAGTGCATGGAGAGGAGGTTTGCTCGTAAGGCACTGTATGTTGATGCTGCAGAGGTGTTCACATAGGTGATTTCATTCACTTTGTTGATCATGCATCAGGCCGTTCACTTACGGGTTGTGTAGTTTTCTGGTATTGTAGGTTTACTTCAATTAAAAAGGTTATTTAAAACAAAAACAAATTTGAGAGTCCCTATGAGACCCAAATATAAATACATACAAGGCCTCCTCAGGATAATTTGAAGGACTTCTCCCCTTGTATTGGTGTATGGGTTATTGTTGATGTTTCTCCTCAACAGGCCCTGAGTGACTTTGGGGGTAGCGCGTCCATGTTCTCAAATCTCTGCCTGACAGAGTGGACCCTCACTGAGTGTGTGGGGGAATCATGAAATAAATGTACTCTCATGAGGAAAGAAATGTATTTCTGTTCCCAGCGTCAAGAAAACCACCGAAAGCCACCCTGCAGACATTACAAGACATTGGTGACCATCGAGGAATTTATGATGCTATCTGAGTGCTTCCAACACACCGCTCTACAGAGTCTGTGAAGTCTACTGTCTCTGAACGTACCTGAGTAAAACCCAGCATTGCCAGAGCAAGAGCCCAACCAGCAAGAAACTGAGCAGTTCTTACTCATGGGTGCGCCCATTTGTCTTTCCCAAGTCACTCTTGACCAGGCCCAGATCAGGTTCCCTGGGTGAGGCTTCTATACTATAGTGCATCAGAGCACGGAGTCTGTTTAAAATATGGAACTCCTGCCAGAGGTGATGGGGAATGGGAGAGGTGGTACAAACAATGTTTATACACATAGAACTAAATATAAAAATATAAAATGGAGAGAAAAAATAAATAAAATATGGACTCCTGTCTACCCTCTTGTCTAATTCAATCAGTCTAGGTTAGAGTTTAGGAGCCAGGATGTTAGGACTGCTCTTAAAACGGGACTTTTAAACTTTAAGTTAGTACATGTCACCAGAAGAGCGTGTTCGAAATTCAGGCTCCCATTTCAGTAGGTTCTGGGAGGAAGAGGTCTGAGAGTCTTATATGATGACTGACACGTGACTACAGGACCACACTTGCGAGTAGTAAATTGTAGGATCTAGAAGATAAACCGAGTTGGGCTTAAGATCTCACTATGAGAAGTTCTTTAAATTGGGACAGTTTTAAAAATTAAAAAATTGATCTTGCCTTTTGCAGAAAACTCAGAGAGATTGAAGGCATAATCTTATCACAAAACTTCAAGCCAAACATGACTTGCTGCAGAGGAACTCTTGGAGAAAACATCGGTTCAGTGTTTGAATAGCTGGGTTGTATGGTGTCATGAATGATATTCCAGCGAAGAGTTGAATCATGCCCTTGTGATGAACAGCAGCAACGCTCTGTGTTTAAGATTTGGGTTATCTGTCTGTCTTTGGAATCAAGTTGTCTCTCGACTCATTCCCTTTTAGTTTGGTGGCAAAACCTGAGGAAGAATAAGCCTGGGAGGGCTGTCTCGGAAGGAGAGCCAGTCACCTACTGACCCTCCAGTCACCTTCTTTCCTTCCCTTCTTGGATTCTGCACCCTTCCAGGCCCCACTGTCTTGCTTTGAATGAGCTGCGTATTTGTTATTCCTTCTATTGCCTTTGGGACTCTAAGAAACCACGTTATAACCAGCTTGGTGATTTTTTTTTTTGCTTTCATTAGCATTGTTGGTAGTGAGAAATAATCGAATAGAATAAATAGATTGCTATTGCAAATAACAAAAACAATAGCCAGAGCTAATGCTAATAAGACTTTCTCTGTTGCCAGGCATTGTTTCTGCATCTCTGTTCTTAACTGGAACAATATTAATTTTCCTCATTTTTACAAATAAGAAACTGAGGAAGAATGGACTCTAGCAAAGAGGAGTGCGGTAGATATCACTTTAAGCTGTCTTCATAAAATTTTAAAAGAAAAAATAACCCAGTTACTACAAAAAAACGCCAAAAAAGAAAAACAAATATTTGCAAGCAAGTCATGTCTTTAAGTGCCTTAGAAGTATGGCACTTAGTTATCTTTTTATTCACACGTAGGGAATAAAAAAAAAAGGGAAAGAGAATGTAGGAAGAGGCGTGGGAAATGAGAGGTGTGAGTGACTAAGGTGACACAAAGCGAAAATTTTCCCTCTTTAACCTAAACTTCTTGCCCACGAAGTTTCTGGAACCTTCCTTGCCTGTTAAAACAATGTTTCCATCACCTTATCTCATGATTTCCTTTCCAAAGAATCCATCATTCCTCACGGTACGAATGACCAGCAGGAGAAAGGTTACATGACCTAAGCTCAAGGTCTGGACATGTCAGACCTCAAGATTAAAAAGAGCCAGTTTTCACCTAAGGGGAAGTAAGTTTTTTTTTTTTTTATGGTTTTTTACTACTAAACAGTATCTTAAAAATTAAAAATAACCAACCCCAGTACTGCCCTTAAAAAACCAAAATTAAAAAAATTTAACACCAGGCACTGGTAGCTCACGTCCTGCTAATCCATACTTGGGGGGACTTGAGATTGGAGCGATCACTGGTTCAAGCTCAACCAAGAAAAAGGTTAGCATGAAAACCATTCTCAACTAATAAGCTAGTTGTGATGTGTGCCCTGCCACTCCCAGAACTTGGGAAGCATTGAAATAGAGTGATCAAGTACAAGCCAGTCCAAGAAAAAAAACACAAGGAACCTGATTCAAAAATAAATAAATTAAGCCAAAAAGCGGCTGGAGGCATGTCTGCAATGGTAGTATACCGTCAACAAGTGACGAAGCCCTGACTTCAAAGGTTAATATCACTAAAACTAAAAAATAATTTTAAAAAAAGAAGTGGGTGTTATTCTTTCTGGCCACAGCATCTAGGACAAGTGTTAATGTGGCTTGCATCCAGGCTGTGAAATTTTATTGGTGCTCGTTCAACATTGAAGTTCTCCTTACGGTCTTCCAGAGTTGACAGCCAATGGTTAATTTTATCCTACATGTCATGACTTGGATCAGGATGTATTTTGGCCACCTTGCTTGAGTCCATATGCCAGATTATGTGTTTTAGTGGCCGTGACTGTGTTTAGTTATATGTTATACCTTGTGATCGGTCTATAGGCCAGGGATTTCTTTATCTTGGCGAAGTTCTTTCATGGACTTCAGATGTCCAGCGACACAGTGTGTTCAGGTTGCCAAAACCTGCACTGGACTCAGTTTTAAGTCTCAAGAACGGAATTGAATATTTTTTTAGAGACACCAGCTCCTTGCCTTCTAATTTGGAGACGTCTCTGCTTCCCCAGCTCTCCTCAGGCTTTGGCAGCTTACCATTGCTGGTTCACGCCTGGATTTGACACTCAGAGAAAAGCTGAGCACGGGACATGTGCCCCAGCTTTTAGTTCAACCAGTGTGGTCGAACTGCTGGCTTTCCTGTGCAGCGCCCCATTTCTGTTCTTACGCACTGCCACCGAGAGGAAACCATAGGACAGTTCCTGCGCCTGTCCCCATGTGGAATCCTTTTAGGAAAGAATCCAAGTCCTGCTTATTGGTTAAATATGTTGGTTAGTTACAGAAGTAAAGATGGTATGTTTGAGGACCCTCTGACTGTAGATTAGAAATTGCCTCTGCAGAAAACTGCTGTCATTAGTAAAACAAACAGAGCCTAACTGGGCGGACTTTCTAGCAGTTGCATGGTTACACAGCTGAACTCTTAACTACAGCCATGTGTTTGGCCCTGGCCTCTCTTGCTGGCTTTTTGGCAGCCAACCAGTGGCCCAGTCAGTCTTTGATTATACAGCGTTTGTGATAAAGCGACTAGATCGAGCGTCTTTAAAGGAGGTGTTGTCAAAAATTCAGAATTCCAGTCTTTGAAAGGTATTGAAATAGAAACACAATGAGCAGTGAAAAAAACTGCACTTAACTTTTTTCTTCATCCCTCAGCAATACTCTTGTACCTTTTTCGTCGTTGTCGTCCATGACTGGGGGTTGTGCTCAGAGCCTTACAGTGTGCTTCTACCTCACTTGAAGCCATGCCTCTAAAACCCCCTTTTGCTTATGGCTTTCCTTATTTTTCAAATACTTGCCTTTCTGCCCAAGGACCAGCCTCAGACTGGATCCTCCTTCCTAGGCTCCCACTTAGCTAGGACGATAACAGCATGAGCGCTATCAAGCCCAGCTTATTAGATGGAGACTGGCTGACTTTTCACCCTGGCTGGCTTCTATTTGATTTCTCGTTGATCTTTGCCTCCTATAGTAGCGTGGGATTAAAGTGTATACTATCAGGCTCAGTTGATGTCATTTGTTTTTGGGTGAGGGTTGGTACTAGGTTTTGAACTGAGGGCCTGCCATGCACAATAGGTGCTCTGTACTGCACTTGAGCCACTCTGCCAGCCCCAATGTCATTCTTTTTAAATCCAGGTAAATTGACCACAAAAATGAGATATACATTATTTTTAAAACCAGCACTGAATTTTTTCTTTCTTGCTCAGTAATTGAGCTTTAGATGTTCACAGTGGCTTCTTTGTTACAAATAGTTGAGTTTAAGAGGCTGTTAAATATCTGCTGCCAATTTATGCAAGCAGAAAATCTGACAGAGAGTCTGAGCGGCCACATTACATTTGTTTCTTGCCCTGAGGGGCATAAATTCTGGGAAGGAAATTAAACAGGTTATCTTCACAGGAAATCCATCGTTATCTTTGAGTAGGAATATCAAATATACTTTGAAAAGAGAAGCTGATGCAGTGGAATAATTATATTCTTTTATAGAAAAAGCACCACAGAAGCTGGCTATCTTAGGAAAGAAAAAGGCTGGCAAAGTAACATCACGACGTGTTCAGTTTGGGCGTTCAAATCAGAGTGTATCTGTCTAGTTTGACTATGCATATCTTTAATATTTTGCTTGAGCTTTGGTTTTGTTTGTTTTTTTGAGGTACTAGACTTGAATCAGGGCCTTTATCTTGAACACTCTACCTGACCCTATTGTGAAGGGGTTTTCAAGATAGGGTTCTCAAACTATTTGCCCAGGCTGGCGATTGTCTGCCTCCTGATTAGCTAGGATTACAGGCATGAGCCACTGGTGCCCAGCTGAGCTTTGTTATCTCAAGTTTGCCTCCAAACTATACTTTTGTTTTCCTTTTACCATATAGAGATAAAATTTAGATGTGAAAAATAGTTCACCACAAATTCTCCAGTGAAAATAATTAAGACTTAGTCAAAGGAGGTGTCGTGTACCAAGAATAAGTTAATCCTGAGTCACTTTATGTTTCCAAAATGAGCTTGTGGAGGAGTTCTGTAGTTTTTAATAAATTAAGTAGGTTTCCAAAGAAAGTGATTGAAACCTAATCCTCAGAACGCACTGGAAGCTTTCACATTTCTCTGCGGAAGGAGAATCTTCTACACTGGTGTTTATGTGATCTAGTTAATGATTGATACTGGATTTAAAAAATAAAACCTCATTTCATTCAAGCTGGAGACACACTCAAGGACTAATTAGCTGAAAACACAGTGCGATGTTGATGGTGCAGTTAGTGCTGTGAATGATAGTTCTTGCACAAGCTGCTGGTGGACATTACTTCAAATGTGTATCTTTTTATAGGTTTTTCAATTTTTATCTCATTGCAATTAAACCATTAGATGATGGAGCAAAGTAATGTTAAGCTATTTTATGTATGATCGATTTTCTAAGTCTAGAACAATAATTAGTTGGGGATATTTTTAACAGAGATGCAAAAATTTCCAAGTTATACATTTCCATTTTTAAGGAATTATCTTCAAGCGATCAAACTAGCATTGGACCACTTGTGGAAAGTGCGTCAGCCTGTGTTACTCAACATATTACATATGGGGACTAATTTAAATAATTTGTCATATTTATTAGGACTTAGATTTTTATTTAAAATCTTACATGATTTATATTTGCGTTTTAGCCTATGGAAAGGAACAGAAGATAAACCAAATTTCTACCTTCTTCTAGGATCATTCAAAAGTATTTTCCAGAACAGACTTTAGATTTGGGGGGCCGTGCTGCATGCTTAGCAAGCTCCCTACCACTGAACCACACCCCAGCCCAAGACTTTACATTGTTAAAGTGTATAAGGTGCTTGGGATCTTCAGCAATCCGGAAATTAAAACAAAAACCTAGACCTTTTGCCAGGCAGTCTGTGATGAGTATCGTTGACTTGGGGAAAGTTGATTTTTCTATGCACTCAGTCTCTTTTGGTAAAAAATCAGAATAAGTAATAGAAAATCATAGAAACTCCTCATAGAGTATTGTGAAAGCTGTGAGTTAATTTATAAATGTTTGATATGCAATGAAGTGCTGAGGCTGCGGTATGGTGGCATATCCTGAACTTCTAGCACTCTGGAGCTCAGGCAGGAGGATTAGGGAGGTCAAGATCCTGAGGACAGCAAAACATTTTTTCCAGGGCCAGCCAAAGCTAAGAGTGGAGACCCTGTCTAAATAAATAAAGAAAGAAAAAGAAAATTGCTTAGCATGTTTTATGGTTTTATTTTATTTCTTTTAATGAGCATTACATTTGATAGTAATGGGGACTTTCCATGAGACCCTGTCTAAATAAATAAAGAAAGAAAGAATGAAAATGCTTAGCATGTTTTATGGTTTTTTATTTTATTTTGCTTTTTAATGAGCATACATTGATAGTATGGGGGACTTTCATTATGAAATTCCATATTTGTATACAGTGTACTTTGAACTCCATCCCCTCCTTATACTCCCACCCTCTCCTTCCTCCCCCCATTTTCAATGGGTTTGGTGCATTTCATTATGCTCTCTTCATATATATGTAAAATATAATTTGATCCTCTTCACCCCTCAATATCCTTTACTTTCCTCCCCCACTACTGTTAACCCTCCCCAAACAGTCCCCCTTTTACATTCATGTCCCATTATTGTTATCATCATTTTAGACTTACATTCTACAAATGAGTGAAAACATGCAATTTTTGGCTTTTTGAGTTTGGCTTATCTCATTCAACATGATGATCTCCAGTTCTATCCATTTTCCTGCTTTAGAACATTTGTTGCTTAATTAATGAGCATTTGTTAGAATAGTGTCTGATAAATATTAGACATTGTTGCTATTTTTATTGTTTCTAATTGATATTGTATCATACTTTTTAATGCCACAATAAAGCATGTAGCATAACAATACCATACAATACAAGCAGATAGTTTCTCTCAACCCTTTATTCATTCTACTGATTCACCCTTGGTGATCTTAGCCAGCTGCTAGGGCCCCAACACAATCTAAATGGTAGTGACTGTCAGCTCTTGTCTTCTCTCTGTGTCTTAACCCTGTCTAACCAGCTTCCTGCTGGACATTTCTATTAGAATATCCATCAGGCACCACCTGGCACACTTAGCTCATTGTCTGCCCCTCTACTTCCTAGTAGACATTTACCTCCATTCACAGATAGCTATATATTTTTTAGAGTTCCCTTTGTTTTCCTCCAAAGTAGAGAAGGCTAGCAAAAAGGACAGACCAATAGTTAAGTGAAAGGTAGAACTGTGTAGAGGATGAGGTAATCAGGTCCTTCCCCTTTCCCTTATCCCCACTCAAGTCTGGCCAAGAACTAATTCTACCAACACTTGCAGTGGCCTGGATCTATGTGGGGAAAACCATTCTCTGATAATATCTGTTGCCCACTTTTTAATCAACAGATATCACTCAAATAGTTTATATTACTTGTTATTCAAGAGCAGATAATAAATAGAGTAAAAGGCTGTTGCAACTGGGAGTGTTCATTCACAATTTCTACAAGCTAGCTTTCTCTACAGTTGCTATGTTGGCCTTGTCCTATAAGTCTGAATCACTGCATTATTTTATGGGCTGGGCTCACCTGTTTATGCTACAACATGACCTTCCTCTGCTAGTATGTTTTTAAACTGGTTCAAGACCATATCCTCATTTTGCAAACGAACAGCAGAATGGTTCCACTCTCCCATACCTCTTCCCACTACTCCCCCTTGAATCTAAGAAAAAACAGACAGCAACCATCGACACATGCAAACTTGAAATTAGTGCAGATTGTGAGAATGCTAGAAAATTTCAGGCCTGTTATTTAAAACAAGTCAAGAGGCCCTACAAAAAGCAGCTCATGTTTTAAATGACAGAACTCTGTGAAAGAGTTTTAGCTTTTGAGTTGGTGGAATGTAAAAAAAAAAATGTCCTTGGATGTCATTATCTACAAATGTCATTTTTGATTGTAGAATACAACTTGTCTCGCAATCCTCAGATTTCATATCACAGAAAGAGTATCAGTATAGCCTATGGGAAGTTGAGTTCTCCAAACCTATTTGACCTACTTCTCCCCAACAAGTATCAATCAAGACAGAGCAAATAACTTAAACTCAAATCTTGGGTATGTTTTGTTTGTATATTGTGTTTGAACTTAAAATTATGATCAAGCAGCTATTTTTGTATGTTTCAGAAATTAAAAGAACCTTGCCTCAAACTGCCTAATGAAACATTTCTTTAATCTATACAACATATTAAATTTTATATATAGATTTTGTGAAACACTGACTTTGAATTATTTGTCTATCATACTATTCTCATTTTTTCCACCATAAATATGTATAAGTTATTATAAACTCAGCATCTTAAAATAAGGGATATATGATAGAAAAGTTTATAATCCACTGATTACATTCAATTCACTTATTTTAATCTTTTTTTTCTTTCAGGTCATAGAGCTGAGTATATGACTACAAGGTAGGAAGCTATCTTATCATAATTCACAATGTATCTCAGTTTCTTTTCACTTTAACTAGAAGCAGCCATTTAAATGCTGCAAAAACAAACATATTTTGTTAATGAACATGGAAGATAGTTTGAGCATGACAAAGCATAGCACCATGACATGCTTGGGGGTTCTTACCAGACTACATCTGCCCTCTCATATCTAAGCATTTCCCAACAAAATTATAAAGCTCGTTCATAAGCAGAGTCAGCAATAATGACCTAAGTTAAACAGGCGTGGTTTCTCTAATCCAAAACACATTAAGTTTTTAAAAATAGTCTGGCAAGACTTTTGATTTGATAATTTAGCTAACAACCAGTATGATGTACATATCTACTGTGTTAGTAAATAGAAAGTATCAGTTACTTTTGACTTATCTCATATAAAAATAATAGCTATATTAAATACTCTTAGAATTTAATTATTTACCCCTTTTAAGTCACTTTAAAATTTTAACTTTTAATACCTATAACCATATTGTACATTCTTTTTATTTTTCCATTACCCTTCGTGGAAGGATTTGAAGCTATTGCTGGGAAAGAAAAGCCATTTTAGAAGCAGATTCTGATTAGGGTTGGGGAAAATTTGTCATTACTTTTATTTTCCTATGACACCATTTGTATAACTGCCAAGAGTTATTCTAGTTGGCATAGCAAGACTTTGAACTTTTGCATTTGAGTTTGAGGCAAGCGACATTGAGAATATTAGTGTATCTTACAAGTTGATTTCCAAGGTTCTATAAGGGTACTGCTGAGCAATTTAATCACAAGGAAGCCCTACTCTTGGTGAACCAACTAGAAAGATACAGCTACTGACTTTTCTAAACTTACCAGAAGAATTTATGCAAAAAACTACTGAGGTTTTTCTTCACTTTTTCAGTGACAGAGGAATATTACCTCTGCCTAGTAAGGTGCAACTTATGGAACTTTTTTTGCATATAATATCTCCTTGCACTATTGATTATTTTACCTGTTGTTTCTGGATTATAGTTAATATTAGGCACTTAGCCACATTTTTTAAAAGAAGCATTCAAATATGTTAATTTGTGATTTTGAACTCTAATTGCTAAATAAACTAGTTATTCACATCAGCTTGTCTAATAATCCCTTTCATGTGGACATCCTACATAGAAAATCAAACTACCAGGAAGTTGTGTTCTGGCACAGAGCCAGAATCAGTCATAAAGTCTGAATATTGCATGGCTGGTGTTGGCTCTGTTCACCCAGTGTGAGCAGAGTGGAAAAGAACTGTTGGCACACCAGCCGGCCTAATTAACTCTCCTCTGCCATGAAAATGACTTTGGCAAACACTCAGGTAGGTCATTTTAATTCCAAGTCCCTCACAACTTTAGCTCCTTTACAGTTACTTCATGCCTTTGGTAAAAGTCTCAAAAGATATCCCCAGCCCCATCGAAGGGTAACCCTTGTCTCCCAGTCAAGCAGGGACAGTTGTCCAATGCCACTGGACATTTTGGCTCTAGCTACAAGATTTGTTTTCCCCTTGAGTTGGTAACCAAACAATTTCTGCTCCCCTTAGCTTCATCAACTACTCTAGATATCACCAAATCCAAAGCTCTGAGTGACCCTATAATGGCCACATTTTCTAGTTTCTGTATATACTGCTTTGAGCATCAAAATCTTGGGGCCTTGCGAGGCCTGGAGGGACCACCTCTGCCTGGGTTAGCCAGCTCCTAGAAATATAACCCAGTGGCCATCCTTTCAACTACCTCCTTTATCAGGCCCTCACATTCAGGGTCACTGTTCCCCCTGACTGGATACTCCAGTGCCAAGTACCAGACAATTAGAGCAGCTCCAGTGCCCCAGATACTATCAAAATGGTTCAGATTATCCACTCCTAAACCTGTTTGCCCCTCTTTTCCCCTGAGAGGCACAATAAAGGTTCTTGCCCTCCTTTTCCCTTTACTCTGTCTTCTGCCCAACCCTGAGGTTTCTGATGCCCTCCCCAAAACTTTGTGGCGAGCGGCAGAGCACACCCCCTCTTCTGGGAGGTGTGCTCACTGGCAGTCATCTCTTGGTCTGTTGACCTCACTATACCAGAATAAAAATGGAGTCTACATTAAAAAACATTTATCAAATGATTGGAAAGAGATGAAATCAAGGACATATTAACTCTTTAGTGGATAGTTGTTAATTTTTTTTTAAAAAACCTATCAAATCCCTTCTTGCAAGAATGACACAGAATTTAGTAAATATAAGATTTTAGAAATTTCAGCTGTGGCAGGACATGACATGCTACCTGGTCAGTTTCCAGATTCACTTCTAGCTACTTGTAAAGGTACCTTTTGAGCTCTTGGGCACCATGGGACTTCAGGTGCTGCTAGCTATACACCCCTTAGTCATAGTTGCCCACCTGCTGGGAGGTTCTTAGAATCTGGCTATGAACGGCTATAGCAGCAGGTTTGTTTCATGTGTGTTGATTGTTGTGATAATATCTTATGAAGCTTTTTGGGCTTTCCCATAAATTCTTGGGATTTTGATTTAAACTAGACTTGCTGAACTTGAACAAAATGAACTAAAAAGTCATTTTTTCTGAACAGTCTACAGCTTAACAAAGGGCTTTATGTAATTTCCAAGTGTGATGTGCAGTCACCTGTAAGTCTTGCAGTTAAGGAGCTTAAATTGGAACATCTGAAGACAGGTCTCGGGTCTGTCCTCCCATGAATTCCAGTAGCCCAGATATAGAAGCCAGGCCCCTTCTTCTAAAGAGAGAGCAGAAGAGGCTCCAATTACAGCACATGATGATGCAGGATTTCCCTGTCTAGTACATAGTGCACTGGATGTGTATGTCAGAAAGACTGGCTTATCCACCAACACAAACAGACAGACAGGACATGGAGAGAGTCCAGACAAACATAAATGAGTGCATTCTAATGCCCTGCAAATATTTAGGCAGCAGCATAGTTTTCTCTACAGAAATACTAATTCACATGAGACTGTGCCCTCAGTCAGAAACAGCATTGAAACCAAACCCCGTTTTTCTCACTTGTGACCCATTAAGAGTTACTTTTGCATAAAACAAAATCACATTAATATATGAGGAGTGTTGAAGAGATGTGATGTTACTGACATTGAAGAATTGCAACTAAAAATATTATATTTAATTTCTCATTCAGGGATCTATCAGAGCACTAACTTTTACCAATTGTGTCATAAGCCAAGTAAGAAGAACCCTGCTTTATAACATTTAGGCAGATAGCTCACAATTCTTTTTGATAATCCTTATCATTATTAAACAAGCTAAGAAACAAACAAATACCAGCTACAAACATATAAGAAAATGACATTCTAAATGAAGAACATGTATGTTTTGTGATGCATAAGTAAAAGTAAATCAATTGAAAGGAATGAGACTGTTTTTCCCCCTAGGCTGGGGCGGGAAAGGAACCTAGGATCTCCAGGTTTTATAATTTTGATGTGACCTATGGGTGTTTCATTTCTTGTTTGATTTCTGTCATGCTCAGTAATTATGTTCCCTTCCCTCAGGCCTCCAAATGTTCCCCCTAAGCCCCAGAAACACAGGAAGTCCAGACCCCGCTCACAGTATAATGCTAAGTTGTTTAATGGGAATTTGGAAACATTCGTCAAGGTACTGGCACCAGCCACCTGGGTGGCTGATCTCCACGCTTCTCACTATAATGGTCTCAGCCTCTCATAAAAGGAGGCAGGTCATTATGTCCGAGTCTGTCCTGGGGCTCTTTGCTTTTCTAGAAAATCAATATAATATTTCCTAAAGTCAGAGAGGAAACAGTATTTGGGTTGAGTGTCTTCAGAAGAGGAAATAAATGTGGACATTATTATGTGGGCAAAAGAAAAAGCCCTTGTATTTTTTTAAATGCCATAATTGTACAAAAAGGAGAAGAGAAACCTGATTTTTAAAAAAGCTTTGTTTTTACTTGTGCAAATGAGATGGCATAAAATGTATGTTTTTAAAATCCGTTCTTTGGGCTCTCTCCCAAGCACAAGAGTCTTGATTTCCCATGACTTGAGGAATTCATTATATTGAGTACATTGTCAGGCCCTACAGTCTGTATCTTGTATCTTTGCTGTGCTTACTCTCTGTCTTCTTTTTCATCCTGTACTTCTGATAATGCTTCTAGCCGGGGACGAAGGAATTCGCACACAAGACATCAGGTATCGTGCTAGGGGGAAGCAAGGGCACAGCCTCTGTCGCTGCTGGCATCATTTTCAAGTCATGCTCATGCTCGGCTCTCATTAGATTTTTTAAGGTCTTTAAAAGAAAAGTGTTTGCAATTGGAAAGAGACTGGCTTATAAAAAGACCTTACTTAGAAAAGAACTACAGGAATCAAACACTAATTTAAGAGAAATGGTTTTCTCTAGTAAAAGTAGAAAGATTGAACTCTAAGTTTTTACATGATATGTTTGGCAAATGTATGAAATTTGAGTTAGGAGCCTTTATAATGGAAGAGTCATTGTTAAATACCAAATAAACATTTAATACTGTATTATGGATCCTAATAGAAATTATACAAAAAAAGAAATGGGCTTTCTTTCTTCTTCATAGCTAGCATTTAATACATGGATTACAGTGTTTTCAAAAACTAAATTTGCATGAGAAACCACATTTGTGATAACCTCCATTGATTGGTACATTATAGAATCTTGCTTTCTTTAAAGACAGATCTATTCATTGAATGTACATACTAATGATTAAAAAGTCAGCATGTGTGTGCCATGTACGTAGACAGCTATGCATGCATAGGGAGAGATTAAAAACCTCAAGCAGCCTTAAAAATGAGACCGTGACCCTGAAATTAAGTGAAAAGCAACAGAACAACCTAAATGGCAATCACAAACCCATTGTCTTGAACCTTAAACCCAGAAGAGCCTTATTGGCTCTAATTTAATATAAAATTATTGTCAAATTTGATTATCTACTTTCTCAGCCTCTGGCTTATAAACGGGCCCAAATTAGACGGAGAGAGGGGAACACTAAAATGAAAGCAGTGAGGTGTGCAGCTGATGGCTTGGCAGAAAAAGAGACATAGGGAAACTTAAAGAGGCAGATGGATGGTTATGTTATATTGGCTATCATGGTACAAGAATGGCTGCTTAAGGTGAAGTGCATATTATATTTTTAAAATATTTTTCTTTAAGAACAGTTAAAGGAAACCACATTGAGGTGCTAAAAAAGAACTACAGCAGTTTTCATAGAAAACTCACTTGCACATGCTGTTTACCATCCAGGTGGCATATTGAGACATCTCTGTTACCAGCAGTAACACAGAGAGGGTGCAGAGGTCTCTCTCTATCTCCTTCTGCACTTCTGAGAAGTGCTTTTAAAATCTTCCCAATCTCACTGTGAGACTATAAGAGCACAACCATTTTCATATAGAAACTGAGATACAAAGAGATTTGTTAGAATGCTAGCTGGAGGGCAGCCCATTGTTTCACTCCTTGTAAAATATTTTCTGTCCAGGCATCTGGCATCCATGAAATTAAATTAAAACATACACACACTCATTACTTTGGGGCTATAAAATTCATTATATCTGAATGAAATACCAATCACAGCTAAAAGATTAACATTCACCTGAACGAATGTAAAGACAAAAATATTTTTAAGTAATATAAAAACAAGACTTTTATTTAGAATTTTCTTGGTGCAAACATTTTTCTTTTAATAATCTTTCATTCTTTGTTTATGTTTTAATGCTAAGTCCAGCAGAGGTATAAACTAATATTCTCTTTCATCACTTACATTTAAATATTTGTTGCTCTTTTAGATTACAGTGTTACATGAATTGTTCATATGAAAGTTAATTTGACTAAAACATGCTGTGTCTTAAAGAAAAGTCCCTATATGTATTCAGCAAATTTTGGTGTAATTACATCACTGTTTGCAAGCCAACTAGTCTACACTAAAATGTGTTTTTATTCTTATGGCTCTTCTTTAAGGAATTAATAAAACTTAATGCTCCTAAATTAACTGACTAGAGAAACAATACAGGTTTCAGAAGAAATTGAACTATCAGCTGGCTTATACACTGATTATATAGTCTTAACTTTAAAAGGATTCCTTAAGAAGTATGTTATCTGCTCTAGAAATAGTCTAGAGCTTAAATTGCTGAGCTCACATAGTCCCGATCTTTCCCACTCTGCTTAATTGGAAAGGTTAGTGGATTCTGAATCTTCTAATATATTAAGACAACCAAGTTCTTCTTGTGTTTCAGAATAAAATTCTGCAAAAATGTATACCTGATGTGAGCTAATCATTTTTGAATCCCTTTAGAGATCTAATTCCTGAAAGATCAGAGTCTTACAAGCACATGAAAGACAATTCCATACCCAGAAACTTTCTTTAACTCCCTGGAGTGCATGGCATTGAAACATATTTAACTGTGGCCTCAGCAGCTCCTTCATCTCCTGTTTCATCCTATGCATGTTTTAAAGCATTTCCAGAACTTACATTTATTCAGTAGAGGGCAGTTACTATTTTACAAGATATGGGGAGAGGAAACCCACCCCTCCAAAAAAAATCTTCCTAAGAAACAAGATCTAATGGGATGTACATTTGTGTGATTTTTTTTCTTAATCCTTAAAATTTGAAATACATGAATAATCTTTAAGGATGAGTACATTCTGATGCAAACCAAGTAAATAAATGACATGTTTTAGTTACCTGTGAAACAGTCCTATGTCATTGCATCTGCAGCCACAGAGCCCTTTTGAAACTAACTCGTCATCAAGACCGTGTAACACCTTTCAGGACGGTGGTGGGGAGGTCCTGAGGCAACTGCAAGGTTGATAGGTGACTAGTACAACTAATCAGTCTGAAGATAACACATAATGGTCTTTTTACATCCATTAAAGATTGATCGTCCCTATCAGAAAAATTTCAAAATATGAGTTGTTTTGGTATGTCAACTATACATAAGTAAAAGAGATCTTGACATCTCTAGGCACAGCATAGTAAATGGAAGAAATATTGCTTTCTTGTGTTGAATACATTTAACTTGGTTTGCTCCAGAACTGAAATATATCTTTGTTTAAATATAAAATGACTTACCATTTTTTGACATTGTGGAAGATTTTAGACTTGAAAATTTGGCTTCAAAATGATTATCTATTTTAAATAATAGATAAAAACTACTCTAGTTACTGCTGACCTGAGTGTGACTAAGAGCTCTTCTTTGAAGTTAACTGGCTTCCATCTCTTTACCCAGGATTCAGGACAGGTTATCCCCCTCATTGTGGAAAGCTGTATTCGGTTTATCAATCTCTACGGTAAGCCATAAGCTACAGGATTCTTATGAAATACTCACCATGAGCATTTTAGTTAATGTGTCTTTTTTCATTTAACATTTAATTATTGGGAGAAGGAGACCTAAAGGAGGTGATGGAGTTTCTCATCCCCTTTCCCTTCTCTTGCCTTTAGGTCTTCAGCATCAGGGGATTTTCAGAGTGTCTGGTTCCCAGGTGGAAGTCAACGATATTAAAAATTCATTTGAGAGAGGTAATATTATGTCTCAACCTATAAGCAAAATGTGCTAAAAAGTCATCATTTTCTGTATTCTGCAGTGGCATACTCATTCTGTGTGTCCCAGAAATCTTTATCTTTCCATTTACTTCATTGTAGATGCTGGGGTTAGAATCTATCTGCAACAGCCAAGTAATGAGGCCCATACCATAAGTCTTTGTTGTTAAAAGTAGAAAAGTAAATGAGCTTTCTATCCTGGCTTAGGACTGACATTGATCATCCCTGACATGTGTCAAGGTGATACCTGACAGGGCTCCAGAAAGGCACATTGCCCTGGCTTAGGCAGTGAATGTGTGAGGTATCTCCTCCCACAGTTCTCTCTCCTTCCTTCCTCTTGTTACTACCCAAGATTCCTTCCCTGTGATATTTTGTTAGTGCCTTACTTGTATTCATAACTGACTGCCATATAAATTCTACTGACTATTAATTAGCACATTATGATTAGCAAAATCATATATACACCTAGTGTCAGGCAGGCCTCAATCAAGTAAGAGTCTCATTTACTAATTGTGGGATTTGGGTCAAGCGATTCAAACCTTAATTTGGCCTCAGTTTCTTCACCTGCAACAATGTAGGATTGGTGTGAGGATTAGATAAAATCTATGAAAACCCCTAACTCCTTAATGACAGCTATTAGTTATTAATGCTCTCCAATTATAATGATTTGTATCACCTTCCCTCTGCTTGGTGGTCAAAATGCATTGTGGTCATGGCATAGAGAACAGCTACTTTCTCTCTCTCTCTCTCTCTGTCTCTCTCTCTCTGTGTCTCTCTGTCTCTCTCTCTCTCTCTCTCTCTCTCTCTCTCTCTAAGTGACCTACACTTGGAGAACTCTTGAAATTTGAAGTCTTGTTCAAAGAGGTAAAGTTGGGACCACACTGTTTTTTCCTGTTCCAAATTCTCTGACCAATATGACATGTAGCACAAAGCAACCTGCCCACCTGCTAGCAGCTAAGTGTGCCCCATCGTGTGCCCCATCTCTTACATTGACCTTATTCAGGAGGGCAGGTGGAAACATGGTGAAGCATCAGAATCCTATGCCAGCCACCACAGACCAAAGCTCTGTTATTTTTCCTTGGAAATTCCCCCTGGTGTTTGTTGTTTGTTTGTGATCGATTTGGGTGAGGTTTTTTTTAGTAGTGGGCAAAAACAATAACAGCAATAATTCCACTGAGTTCATGTTCAGTGATTCCTTGCCCTAGAAGAGGGAACAATAAGTTCCTAAAAATGAACTGTCCTAAGAAGCGAACAATATATTAAAATACAATGAATGCCTTTTGTAAACTTTAGAAAGAGTAAACCTGTGGGAAAAACTAATAAAAAATGGAGTTTGATTTGGAGCTTATATATCATGGTGGACTTAAGGATTTTGTCCCACTTTGACTCTCAAGGAAATAGATTGACCATCCCAGTTACCTAAAAATCTTAAAACTGTTTACCATAAAGAAAATTATAATTTATTTGTGCATATTATTAAATTAGTCTTTTTTCATACAAAATCCTTGGTACCATTAAGGGTACATTTTTAAATTCCCCTGCCTGACTTCAGAATCTCCCACTGTTCAAGGTGACTTTCAAATGTGCTGTGTACACAACTGTGCCACTTTGGAAACTAACCATTTATTTAATTCTAGGTGTTCACAATTACTATTTGATATTTCTGATAAATTCTACTGACCCATATAGCATAACCAGCTAGACCACTAGTGTGTCTTTTTCCCAGTAGGATAAGAAACACAGAAAGTTGTTTTTTAATTCATCTCAAACTAAGATTACTGAATTTAGCTTAAAGAAGGTTGTGTAAAATCCCACAATATTTTATTTTAAGATTTGGATAACTTGTAAGGGAGTATTTATAGTATAAGACTATTTTAAAAAGCTTTATTTTAACTAACTATTTTTAGGTTAATCATGGGGTAGGATATCTAAACCAATTATTTTAATTTTAGTACCATATAATCTTTCATAAAGTATAATTAAAAGATTCATGTATATATAGCAGTGTGTATATGGAAACATGTTCTTGTTGAAAGGGGAAAAAAGAAGCACCATGCATGTGATGAGTTGTTTTGGTTTTTTTTAGGTGAAAATCCTTTGGCTGATGACCAGAGTAACCATGATATTAACTCAGTGGCTGGTGTTCTGAAGCTCTATTTCCGTGGGCTGGAAAACCCCCTCTTTCCTAAGGAAAGATTTAATGATCTGATTTCTTGTATCAGTAAGTGAACATTTTTTTTCCTTAGTCTTTTCCCACCAAAATTATTTCACTAACCAACTTTCTGGAAAACGCAGTGGTCCTCCTCCACATACCCCCCAATTACTCCATTACCACTACATTTCTGAGGCCATCTGTTTACTTTCTTGGTCCAGCCTGAGTCATCCTCCCAGCTGTGGCCTCACCCTTAGCTGAGTGGGCTTTGTTTCTGAATATCCTCAGGCTCCATAGAATGAGGAACTGATTATTTCATTGCCAGAACAAAGGAGAAAAGCAGGTTCTAGCCAGGTGTAAGCATAGAAATGTAACTTTAGGGGGGGACTTTGGTTCTTTGTTTTCTCAATCAATTTTAGAAGTGGGGTCATTTACCTATCTTTGAATCGCTCTTCCAAAAATAAGATAAAATAGGATAAAATGTCATTGTTAAAGTATAAGAATGCCAGGTAGTAATTATCTGTCAGTGGCCATCCCATGCTATAGGCAGAGTTGCTTTGGGGCTGTGTATGTGAAACCAATAATCAGCAACAAACTGAAGTGTTGCTCTTTTCTTCTGTGGAGGCTTTTGAAAATAGTGATTCCAAGAATCAGTTTTTAGAATTGGAAAGGTTCTGGGAGCCCACACACACATAAGTTAGAATTCTGCAAAAGATAAAGTTTAAGATGGGAAATCTATGTACTGAGCAGCAAGAGATGCCAGAGAAGCAAGGGGGCACTTCCTAGCAGGAGAATCATCTTAGGAGAAGTATTACAGTCAAACCCCTCAGCTGGAAAGAGCAAAAGAACCTGCATTTTTATAGTTCCAACCCCCAAAGTCCTCCCTCTCTACTGGCTAAACAAGTGACTACCCCAAAAATCAATGTAAAGGAGCTACAGCCCAAACTCTGGTAAAAGGACAGAGACCAGCTATGTGTGAAGCCACACCACAGAGGGAAGCTGAGGATAAAAACACTAGCAGAATGGCAGAGTGAACTGTGATGCCTAAATTGCAACATAGAAACACAAAAAATATGAGAAAGCAAGGTAATATGACTCTTCCAAAACCTTATAACTGAATCCAAAGATGCTGAAATGGTTGAAATGTGAACAAAGATGATTAATGACCTCAAAAAGGATTCATACAAACAGATGAATGAAGTTTAAAACCTGGACAAGAAAGTCAGCAACATGGATAGAAATTGAGATTTTGAAAAATTAGTTATTAACCACAATTGAGTTCTATGCATCTAAAACTACAGTGTACTTTTAAGTTCCCAGGTAAGAGTCTGGAGCTGACTTCATCATATAAGCTTTCATAAGAATCAGGCTTTAGAGCCAGACATGGAGACATACTCCCAGCACTTCAGAGACAGAGGCAGGAGGAGCACAAGAGAGTTTAAGGCCAGCCTGGAGTACACAGCGAGTTCAAGCCAGCCTGAGCTACTCTGTCTCAAAAAAAAAGGAAGAAATTAGGCTTTCCTCTTAATAAAGAAACCTTGCTAGCTTCACCCCCACAACCTAAATTAACAAGTCCCATTGACTTGACCTCAAAAAAAAAATCTCTCTTTTCATCCCTCCTTCCTCTTCCCCACTCTTATCTTGGTTGCTCACTATGATTATTATCATCTCTTAAATGGACTCCCTACTTCTAGAGTTTTTCCCTCCCTCCCTGCTCCCCAACCTTCATCATTCCATCCTTTACACTACAGCTAGATTCAAAAGAGAGAAATCCTGTTATTTGCTCTTACCCTTGCTTAAAATCTCTTTCAATATTTCTCACATAAAACACACTCCTTGTTTGGCTAATAATCATAGGATTGAATTCTTCTGCTATCTGATCTTTTCTTATACCTGATCTCTTCCTATTGCTATGCAATTATCTCTGCCTCCACTACCCTATTTTTGTTATTGTTGAACTATATAGGGTAATACAGTAAACGGCAGACAAGCCAACCCTGCCCCCCTCCCGCCCAGAGTGTTTCCTCTACTCCCTGATAGCCATCAACATCTGCTGTGAAGGCTGTGAAGGTTTTGCTGAATTCGCACTCCTTCCAGAATGGTATCCTCCCCATCACCCTATGTGGAATTAATCACTTTCTCCTCTACTACTATTTCAATGTGTACACATCTACAGTTTTTCTTATTGCCCCATATTATAATTTTTAATCCCTCTGTCTTCTCCCACAAGAGGGGGAGTTTAGAGAAGAGGTCAAGAATGTAAGCTCTGGACTCAAACAGCCTGGGTCTGTCCCAGCTCTGTCACTTGCTCACCAACTGTGTGACTGTAGGCAGCTTTCTTAAGCTTCCTCACCTCAGTTTCCTCATCTATAAAATAGGCAGAACATTAGTCCATACATCATAGGGCTGTAGAACTAAATGCTTTAAAATACATTTCAAGTACCAAGAAGAATGCTTAGTGCAGAGTCTTCTCAATAAAGTTCTAGTTACCTTCTCAAGCCTGGGAGATCTTGATAAGTTAATCAGTTTTGTAGGGAACACTTGTCACAGTTCATTCCAGGTGCATAGTAAACACTCAGTGCATAGTTGTTAAAGTTTATGTGGAAGGAAGAATCAAGATTTCACCAAAAGTTCTTTTGTTAGCATCTGTGCCTAAAATCTAGATCTAGTTGGGTAAAAATTCCTCAGTCATAATTCTCCCCCTCTACCCCAGTCATATATGCTGTATGGAATTTAGGAGTTCTCCTATGTATCCATTTCAAGGTTCTTATATAGCCTAAGTCACCACAACAGACCTCTGACCCAACTGGAAAGAACTGAAAAAGGAGGTGTCTCACTTCTGGAATTGTTCTTTGGCCATGTCCAAAGATTTCTCTTATGTCCTAGCCAGAAAAGTTAAGTTTGGAAAAATATTAAGTACTTCTAAAGTGCTTAGTGATTTTCTAGGTATATATATCATGTCAACTTTTAGTGTTTAGATGTGCCAGTTGGATAAAGAGCATGAGGATGTATTATCAAGTTACTATTATAGAATCATTTCACACTTTCATGGATGAGAAATATTATATTTTGTGGTTATTAATAACTGAGACCAAAGGGTCAGAATGATCTAGGTGCGAATCCTAGCTTTACCAGCTTTGTAAACCATTTATATAATAAGCCCTTTTTCTCCAATGTCTAACCCCTTTAAAGAGAGGGGATTCCTCTCTAGGCAGCATTTGCTCTTACCAGTGTGACTATGGTATGATTGCATTTTTCCTAGATTTTTCAAAATGGCATACGTCAGCCATTATTATATCCCCTCATTGATATGACAAATGATGTTTTGAATTAAGTTGATGAATTACCTACAATGTGCAAAACTTTATGATGATTCAGACTTGATTCTTACATTCAAGAGACTTAAAATCTAGCAGGAAAGAGAAGATATTTATAAAAAATGTAGTCTAAGTAAATATACGATAGAAACACCAAGAGTTAAAAATTTTAGGGGACAGAAATCTCAATGGTAGGTTATTTTTACCTGTATCATCTTATAAATTGCCATAATTGGGTTTGATTTCCCCATTATGGTAATTTCATGTGTTAGTTATTTCATAAGAAAAATCTTCCCTCTCATCATTTCTAGTAGGTTGTATAAGTCGGTTTATAAGCACCAACTACTTTTTGCTTACATAATTTTGGATTGTTTGGGGAAGAGAGTGTGTGTGTGTGTGTGTGCGCACACGCTCGCACACGTGCACATGCGCACACTCACAGTGAGTTATTATCTTGTGATGTTTGGTTCCAAAATAGCCCCATTCTCTGGAAGCTTACAAATATATAGTAAAAGAGGACTTAACATAGCATTGTCTTTTTTTAAAAAAATGTATACTTTTCATGCCCCAATTCACTGCAAATCTCTTTCAAAAGATTACTTATCTAGAAGAAGACATCATAAAATCAATGCAATATAAACTGGAAATGACAGACTTCATAGTTTCTCAGTTTCTCACCCAAAGTTTATTTTTTTTTTGCTTTCTTAGGTCATCCACTTTATGAATGGTCATACCCACAAAGTCTGGGCAGCTTCTAGTGTGTCCATGTATCATGGCTCTGGATTCCCCAGGGCACACGTCCAAGGAATTACTCAAGTAATTCCTGGTTTTTCCTGGCTTCTTCAGAGCTGTGAGGCCAGATGAAACATTTGTACTTCATTTTGCATAGCATGTTATTATTTAGGTGACTGCTTAACATGAAAAAACTTTTATAGAGGGAAATGTTTTTCCTATCACAGAACCAACATTTAGTCATTGTAGAGAACTTGAAAAATACACAAAGCACATAGGGCAAATGATTGCCACCCCCCAAAGAGAGCCAATGACATGTTCACATTTTGCCATATTTCCTTCTAAGCTTTGTTTACATTTGTGTGCGCACAACACTTTTTGAAACTAAAGTGGAGTTGTGCTATCCATACTATTTTTAATCTACATTATTTTTAACTTTTTATATTACAGAAAATTTTAAACATCTTCAAAAGGAAGCAATAATATAATGAACTCCCATAGTCACCAGTTTTAACAATTTTCATTTCTTGGCTAAATGTGTTCTGCCAGTGCCCCCTGCGTCTTCCCTGCGGTGTCATACCATTTATCTGCGTATGATCTCTGGAAAATGAGGGCTTCTTCTTCTTTTGTTTTTACTATTACATTTCTTATCACAAAACAATATGCAGTTGTCGTAGGTGCTTTAAAAATGCACAAAAGTACATAGAACGAAATGCTGTCTCTCATCATGCCAGCTACTCAGAGAGTAACAGTGGGTGGATACCATTGAGAAATGTTTTGTGTACAGTAAATGATATTATAATGTATGTTAATATATAAGAAAAACACAATTCCACTATTAAAACCCAAAAAATTAACAATTCCATAAAATCATCACATAGGCAGTACTTCATATTATTCTATAATTAACACATGATCTATGTATAAAAATTCATAAAATAAGCTCAGAACAAGCGATCTGCAATTCTTCTACACAGAGATAATGTTAACTTTTTAGTATTTTCCAGAGTTTTTACATAA